AAATGCCCCCCCAAATTATTTTTTGCCCCCCCCCCATTTTGCCCCCCCCCCCCTCAAAAAAATTATTAGCCACTAAGAGCGACTAAAGGCTACACAAGCGTTCTGTCGTTATCGGAAAATGTATGGCTTATAAGTTGTCATTACTCATTAGTGAATGCGCGTATACATGAAACTGTTTTTTACAGTTTCAATATTAGTTTGTAAATCTCTGAATGGTAAAACTTGCCAATACTCCAATAATACGTTTCAAAAAAAGACAAAAAGCTTTAGTTTTGCAGAGTTAAATTCTCAAACGTGTAAGGCAATAATAAGATGAAAGTATCACAAAATTATTTGAATAAACCACATCGCATATATGGGGGGCGAATGTCCTAAAGAGGGGCGATATTCCTAGGGTATTCGCCCCACCCCCCTGGGAGGCGATATTCCTAGGAATATCGCCACGTTTTGAGGGGGGGCGAATTTCCTGGGGGGGGCGACCTTTTTAAAAATTCTATCTTGCCCCCCAAAAATTCGAGTTTGCCCCTCAAATGCCCCCCCAAATTTGGAAGCCTGGCGCCGCCACTGAGATTTAATTATTTTAGTGTCGAAATTCATCTCTTACATTCAATTTCTGATGCATGCCCACTAATAATTAGTTACGTAAAAATCTGGAACACAGCCATTGCATTTTTTGGACGCCCTGTATAGTGGATCTCTAATTAATTAACCGATAATCTAACTAGCGACCGGCTTCTCTAATTGGGGGACGCAGCGCTAGCCGCAGCTTTTTGAACTATAGTATTCCTTTATGGACCGCTCATTATTTATTGTACAGGGGGGATTGAGGAGAAACTGGGGGAGCCTTTAAATGTTTTTAAACCTGAAAGGGGGGAGAGGGGCTTTGAAAAAATACAGAGAGACGAAAGAAGGGGGGCTTTGAAAAGATTTACTAGTTTGAAAAAACATTAGTAATGTTAAAAATGTATCACAAAACAACTTAACAACAAATAACAATGTTTTAGACCTTTAATATTAATATCATAAATGGAAGCCAAATAAATAAAACAAAATGAAAAAAATAAATAGTCTCTTATGTTCATGCAAATAGACAATTCCCATTATAGACTAATTTAATTTTACTCTAGGCAAAGAGATGCAAATGAATCACCACAGCTAGAAAGAGCTTACTAAAATGAGTAAAATTGCAAAGTTTAGTTGTGAAATATTCTAGAATATGGAAAATATAGCCTTGCAAAGTTTGCAAGTTTGGTATACCTTTGTATTGCAAGCGGAAATTGCTACCGACCGCACGCAATACAAAAGTATACAAAATTTGCAAACTTTGGAAGGCTATACTTTTTCCACATTTTACAACATTTCATAACCAAAATTTTCAATTTTACTAATTTTAGTAAGCTCTTTCCGGGAATATAATTTTTTTGCTAAGATAAAAATTAGTCTATAATGGGAGCTGTCTATTAGTCCCCATTATCCCCCTTGTTTCTCTAAATAAAGAGCTAGAGTCAGGGGGGGCATCAAAATTTATGTTCTTGTTTTGGATGTTGGAGGGGGCTTTGGAAATTCTACTTGTCTTAAGAGGGGGGCAACGAAAAAATATTATAACTGTAGAGTTTCTCATTAGTCCCCCCCCCCCTGTACACTGATAAATAATGAGCGGTCCCTTACAACCATTATATTCATTGACCTTCATCCAGCGCACACTGTATATTATTCTCCCTCCCCCCCGTTTGTTTCATTACTTGAAAGTTCTATATTCGACTATATTAGGCTACGTTTACACTATACCTGATAGCTTTCCGTAGCGAGGTGAAAAAAAAACACCTATCCGTACCTTTTAGGAACGCTATTTTCAAATGAAGTATTGCAACGGAGAGATGTTGTTTCGCGCTCAGCTTCTCAAAATTGTACATTTCGTATCGTACAGGACAGGTGCTTTTTTGCGCCGCTAAGGAAAGCTATCCGTGGTATAGTGTAAACGTGGAGTTAATCTCCCTGGTTTACTACCCACTACGTGGCATGCGTGCTTGGTGCGCCTACTCAAAACTCCGTTTTCCCACTTGCGTGTAAAGCCGGTTTTCTACTTAAGCGTACCGTACCGAAACGTATCAAAAACGTTTTTAAATTCCAAAATTTCGTGACTGTTGATTGGTTAGTACTTCCGTAGTACGCCAAAAAGTTGCCTTGCGACGAACTTTTTATTCTGATACGCGAATACACCCGGAAGTACGTGGATTTATAAACCTTTTTCCATCTGCGCATGCTCACCAGTACGTTTCGCTACGATACGGGCGAAGTGGAAAACCGTATTAACACTGGGCATAGCATACCAATTCGGATTCTATCCTATATCTCTTATCTTATATTAGACTATCAATCAATACAGTAAAGTCCTCTACAATTCTTCCGCCATTCTTTCACTGTCGTTTTCACCAGCAGCACTTTGCACGTACTCACTGTCTATTTCCGGTGCTCCTTTTGGAATCCCACCCTCCAAATCTATCCCCTTAAGAACAGTTTCGCCAAACTGCTGTTTTAACTTGAGCAAGAAAGCATCGTAATATTCATCAGGCACAATATTGTCAAGCATGTCAGCCAAAACTGTTTCTTTTTCCTTGAGATAATCCTCCTTCGTCATTGCATTGTGGTAAAACTCGCACGTTTTCTCGACAGCCTGTTTCCAGGGCATTGGGTCCCAGTCCAGCAATTCCTGGGCAAGAGATATATCCAGTGGGCCTTTTGTTCCGGCCGGGTAAACATACCATGTAGAGTTATCGTCGCCTTCGTGATGTACATTATCGATTCCATAGTATGACGCAATATCTTTAATTACTCTTGGAAGAGCCATGTGCTCTTTCAGTGCGAAATTTATCGCTCTATTTTTGATCGAATTCGTATCCATGGCAACAGCTTTTGAGATCACGTCAGCAACATCGTCCACGTGAATGAGACTGAATAAGTCACTGCGTACTCCATCCGGAATATGGACTGGGTGATGAATGACGTCATGTGTTAGAACCCAGAGTTGATAAATCCACCATCTACATTTGAATTAAGCAAGAAAATGTGTTGCACGTTTAAACTAGAAGTTACTATCGCAAGTAAATTGCTGCCTGATGAAATTTTTGGAATACTGAATCACACTGCATTGCATTTTGAAATCCTCATGTGTACTCATTATTTAAACAATATCACTACAATTCGTGCACGAAAAATTTCCCATCAACAAATACAGGGTGTCCCAAAAAAAAGTGACACTATAGAAATTATCTCATTGTTATAATTTGAATGCCCTAGCACTAAGTTGATCCCACAGGTGCATAAACTTCTGCTTCTGGAATTTAAAATAAAAAAGCAAGCCGTTTATTTGATTTAGTGTAATCGTTTTGCTTGACTCGGGCGTTAAAATATTTGGACAAAGCGAAAACGTTTTAAAATGCTTAAATGTAAATACAAGTTCATTAAATTCCCAGGCGTGTAATCACGCGCGTTTAAGAGCGGCTTAAGAACAATGAGATAATTTCTATAGTGTCACTTTTTTGGGGGGACACCCTGTACAATACTAATTACATGCAAATGATCTCTTTGATTCCCTCTGATTCACAACATTAGATAACTCACATGCCTAATTATCATTGTTCTATAGGGAGTCCCAAAAAAACTGCAAACTATTGAAATAACGTATTGTTAGAATTTGACTGCTTCAGCACTCTGCTGAACCCACAAGTGCATCAAAGCTTGACCTAAGTAAATTTTATGCATAATGAACTGTTTTAAGAAGCTGCTTTAAAATCCCAAGAGCAGAAAATTGTGCGCTTTACAAAATATTTCAATTTGTTACTGTTAACATTTATAATACAGTATAATAAGGTCAATATTATTTTATAAATAAATACAGTATAATAAGCTTTAGAATATATTATCTACATGAGTGAATAACTCTTACACATAACTGTAATGCTTATGTTACTTTTGTACTATTCTATGCTCCAGTAAACACGAAAAATATTAACTACAGGGTATATAAGAAAACCTGCAAACCCTTTGCGTAAACACAATAGTTGACCCATGCATTCGCAGTCGAACTGATAATTAGTTTTCTGCATTGCAAATAACTTTGTGTATGTATTTTCAAATCCCAGGAGCAAAATAAGTAGCACAGACATTGAAATGCTAGTCAGCAGCAGAATTATGCAAATTATAGTGTTTGCAGGATTTTTGATACACCCTGTAAAAAGGCGCAAGGATGTAAATCAGGCAAACTTTTCAGCTTGCCCGGTGTTGGTGCACACTCAGAGTAACAACACAAACAACAACGTTAGCCAAATTTGTCTATTAATATCTTAATCCTGGTTTGCAATACAAAAACTAAACTGCAGTGCTTGTCCTTGGTTAATTAACTTGTCGCATGACGCTTCAAAAAATAGGTACGCTACGCGTACCTGTATTTGCGCAAAGTGGTGACATACGTGTTGTAAGTTCTGTTTGTATAATTTTGAGCGATCTTCTTTCCGAAAGCTTAAATTTTATCTTTATAATGGGATACAATATTAGCCTTAGCTAGACTTCTAGTGATCAATTGAACATTGCTGTTGCAATGAAAAGTTTTAAATTGCTCTCCCATTTATGTTCGTGGCAAAATGTGAAAAAATATTTAATTAATTGAAAACCATTACATTTATATTCGATAAGGCTTATTTTTCACTTTTTTTTTATTAATAAGTTCTGATGTCATACCCTACAACTATTTTGTTTGTTCTTGCATATTTTCTGCAAAATTCTAAATAGCGTTTTAATATATATATATATATATATATATATATATATATATATATATATATATATATATATATATATATATATATATATATATATATATATATATGATTTCGATATATATAAATATCGAAATCATATATTATGCTCGTTCGGGGTACCACGTTCTTGAGCACTCTATAGTTCATTGTATAGACTTATGCGCGCCTCGTGCTTAGCGAGTGTTGCTGCTTTGTCGAATGTCAAACAAAGACATAAAAATATGAAATATATATATATATATATATATATATATATATATATATATATATATATATATATATATATATATATATATAAAACAATTAGCATAACAAATAAAGTCAAATGAAAAGCGGAATTAAGTACTATTTACAACCGATGCATGTATGAGCGGCCAGAGTTGCATCAGAAACGTCTTGATGAAAACATTCGTATTCTTCGGCAATTTATGAATGATATTTGGTGAGAAACACTGATCTGAAATAAGACTGCATAAAGCATCCTATTGTCATATTAAATTCAGTAACCCGATTTTGAAGCCGGAATATTTTAATGAGATGAGATTTATAAATCAGTCAAATTCATGACCAGTCTAATCGTTTGCTGTTTAAGTTCTAATTCAGTTAGACAATAAAGCAAATATCTTCCCCCATGTGACTTGTGAAATATAGCATATAGTACATGAATTATATTGTACACAATATAATGAGCACTGATCTGAAATAAGACTGGATGAAGCATCTGCTGTGCATAAGTGAAGCCGTTGGCGACCATATTGCATGGATTGCCCCACCATTAATAAATCAAGTGTTGTGGACATGTTTAACTCTTCATTTATGTTTCTAGTCACTAGTGGGAAAGGACAAATATTGTCTAGATAAGAATTTATTATCAGTATCCTCTCCTTTTTCCTAAATTTTCCGGTGAATAACTAATGCGCCATTAGTTATTACACTTAAAGTTTATGTAAATCAGCATGATTTTGTATCAAATATACAAACTCCTTCATGCTCATGATACCTTTTGTATTTCCATGAATTATTAATGAGTTTCACGGCAACTTATATTAAAAACGCGTATGTGTTCTTCATCACTGATTCTTAATTGACCACGTAATCAGCATTTAAACAGGTTGTACGATATTTAATATCAAAACGTCAGTGTGTATACATATTGTAGCAATCGATATCCCGGGAGGAAAAATAATATTATAGCACATGCAGACAACTATTATGACGAGCCATAAACAATTGAGTTTGTACGAAAACTTTTATTTAAGTTTAAGGCTTATGTACACTATCAAAGATTCTGTGATCACAGTAGGAATTTACATAGTTCAATTCTACGTTTTGAAGGATTTGTAAGAAATGAATGCGCGGGAACTGACTCAGTGTTAAACAGTTAATTAACAGTTTCCTCAAACGTTTCTTACAAATCCTTCAAAACGTAGAATTTACCTATGCAGAATTCCTATTGTGATTACAGAAACTTTGATAGTGTAAATAACCTTTACGTTTCGTTGCTTCTTAATTGCAACATCTTCAGAGCAATATAAAGTTGTGTACATAACGCGGCGATGCATTAACATACTGTTAGCTCACCTGTACGTAGTGTCTCGAGGACCAATCGCAACCGGTAGACGCAGAATCAAATATGAAACTCCTCCGTCCTTCTGTTGTTTTGCGAGCGTTTCCTCGCATGCTAATTTCTTGTCTCCGTAAGGGAGTTCTTTCTGCAGTTCCCGCCGTTGTTTCGGGCTAATTGGTCGAATTGCTTCATCTTCTTTGCTAGACTGCGTGTGATTCTTTGTGCTAACTTCATACACCGCCTCGCTACTGATAAATATGTAGAAACCAACTCGTCCCAATAGCGCTTCCAAAACCTGGTTGACTTGCTTCGGAGAGTACGAAGTGAAGTCAATCACGATATCGTAGTACGTTCTATCTTCTAGCAATTCCTTGCATTCGAGCAGCAGAGATTTTTCTCGGTCGCATAAGATATGCCTGGAGACGTGTGGTTTTATTCTTGTGTCCGAATCGTAGTAGGCATTCCCTCTGTTCAACAGCGTGATGTTATACCCGTGATCAAGTAACGCAACTGTGGTCGCACTGCCGATAAAACCATTTCCTCCAAGTATAAGAATCTCCTTCTTCGCAAGCGATGAACTTGTCGTGAAAAGATGCGAAAAACATATAATACCAAGGGCAAAAAGAGTATTCTTGTTCGTTATTAACGGCTTCATTTAATTGTTTGCAATCTGCATAAAAAATAAACGAAACTGAATGTATACATCATTATTTAAAGCATATCGTATGACGCAGTTACATGATATATATCACTTTACGATTCGTGAAATTAACAGGATTTCCTTGCATTCCCAATCAATTCGAATCCCGCTGTAAACAGCGAATTTCTTATTGTTCTCTGGAGTATCAGGATAAGACCACCATGCATGCCGGAGCAGTTTGAAAACGACGCAGAAAAGTTACCATTATAGCCGTCGCGTTCACACTACGTTGGAGCGAAATCGGTTTGAAAACGTCACTTTTAATTTGCCATAATTACAATTTGAGCATGGTTTCTAAACGGAGTGAGATGAAAACGGAGCGCTTGGTGGCTTCGTGTGAACACAAACGCCGTTACTTTTTTGTACCGCTTGCAAACCAAGCATCTCAGGTCCCAAAAACAGTAAATTCGAATGGTTTCCGTTTAATTTTTGCCATATTTGAAATATTCTGGGTTCACATGAGCCGTAGTGTGAACACATGCACGTACTAATTGTTCTGTCATTCAATTATTTCGTTCCAATGTAGTGCGAACATCTGAATATCATAATGAAACTAGTCATTTTCATATGTATGAGGTTGATTCTGAAATAGACGACGTCCAGAAGCGTGCCAGACGGAGTGAGCAGTGGCTTTTAGAGAATTTCAAATTGGCCAGGGTTTAGAGCTGATCAGAAACCATCAGTAGATTGGATAGCGCGCCCGCTATAAATAAATGGTTTAATTGCGTCCATCACAAATCTACTGCTTTGTTGGTGACATAGTAGAAGAGGTTCTTACTTCTTATCGGTGTGAAAGGATAAACATTGTCTGAACGGAAATTTATCAACTGAGCGGCCACACTGCCCCCTTAAAATTGCCCGTGAAATCTTAGTATACCTTGTATGTGTATATATGCATGTGCTAGGTGGCATCTCATGTAGTCAAGTGGGACTGGTAAAATCTTCCATATACGAGCGAAGCACTCCAACCCAACCGATGGACAATCGGATCGACTTTTGACCTACATTTGCGTATTTGTCAAATATAGACAAGAACCGGTAAAAACCTAGGCAAACTGTTTAAAAATCGTAATATAAAGTACAGTTGTTCAAACACATCAGAAAATATTTGAAGGCGCCATATGATGTTAAATTTTCGTAATTTGAATTCGTCCCACCGTCCACTGAGGGATACTAAATACATGCGCATATATGACTGAAAAATTATTTATCCCACTTAGGTCAGAGAGAGCGCTCATTGTGTGAACTGACGTGATTTTCCAAATATATGCTTTTGAAAATTGAAATCTTGCTAGCTTCTCGGTGAACCGCGGCTCATATTAACATGCAGGCCATAAATATCTTAACGAGGGATACTAAATATGACATGCTGCATGTGCCATATGACAGAAAATTATTTATCTCACTTAGCCGTCAGATAGAGCTTCTAGATCTCGGTGAACCGCGGCTCATATTAACATAAATATCCATAAATAGATATTGATGTATACGTATATATCGATCTGTTTGAGAGTTTATGTTTATGTTTATTGTGTTTCTCATTGATTGGTCGGCGGAATCCCCAACAAGCTATACTGCCCAATTGACTAGGGGATCCGATGATAGCTACCTACCTACCATTTTAACGTCCTTATCTGAGAAGACGCGAAAGTCCAACTATATTTATTGATGTCAATGTATAAAGGTAGCACTTTCTCCTTAATTATTTTAAGACCCTGAGTAGAGGTACGACCAAGGATCTCCCAACTTGAAAGGCTGCAAGCTCGGTGACTACTGCACCACAAGTCCTGGTTAGAATAACTTAGTTTTGGCGTTGAGTAGGAATATAGATGAATACGAAATGCAGAACTCATAATAATGTTAGACATTTCTGTGTGCATTGGTTACTACTATATAAATTCACTAACTATGTACTGTATGAATGGAAAAAATATTAAATTAGGTGACGTACCAATGGGCAATGGCGATTTGAAATATATTTGTCCAGACCTCTTTTGAAACAACACTTCTTCAAACGACAGCCAACACTTGTTGATCAGACTTTTTCAATCCAAAAAGGCAATCAGCCTTATATTATAGAAGAGGCGGTACTTATATCCAATAAAATATCCCAACGTAAGCTGATTGTTAATGAAGAAAACGTGTAATCTGTATTAGCATGCGAATAAACAGAAACAATTAATCCGATTGGATGTCTTGAACACTGTTTATACACAGTTAAATTTTGTTTGTGCTGTATCGAAAATATACAAAGAATCTACTAATGGAAATAGAGGCAATTATATTACGCCTGCGATGATGTTTTGTAACCCATCGTTGCCCTTTTAATTAATTCTGACACTGCAAACTAGCTATATATATATACTACTCTCTCATTCGTTCAGTTCTAGATTATTCGTTGGACTGTTCTCAGTGATGAAAATTAAATATGGCGGTCTGGTGGCGAAAATTAGAACTATATCAGTCGGGCAGTAAAATATCCACTACTATATCAGCAATTACCTGATTCTCAGTTGTGCATGATGTTACTCTGAGTGTATATCCACACCGGGTAAGCTTGAAAAATATGTCTGACCACGGTGGGAATCGAATCACGGTGGGTTCGATTCCCACCGTGGTCAGGCATATTTTTCAAGCTTGCCCGGTGTGGATATACACTCAGAGTAACATCACAAGCATCATATTCACCTGAGTACATTACACCAACACAAAAAAAATCATAATTACCTTGCTACGGTAAAAATTATTTAGTTTCGGGTTCGAATCGTCGAATGCAATCTTTTAAGCAGATCTATTAAATTGAAAAATCAAAGAGCAAGTAGCCTACATTTGTCTTAAGTTAATTGTTATCTTTGCCTTTGGTGAATGATCTCACTTTTCGGTATTATTTTATCAACTTTATTTTCTCAAATTGTCGGCTGGTTCTGGCTTTAGAAATAGCACTTTTACGTAGTTTTCGAACTTGATTGAATATACAACTTTAGCTTCGGAAAAACAAGCACATATCACCCATGCTGCGCAGAGTCGTGTTATAATTGCTCAAAATTATATAACGCAGACAGAAACTTAGACGCATACGGTGTGCAAAATCTCCTGTCACTGATTACAATCGTATACTATGTTACACTTTTCTACTTATAGAAATATAAACAATAAAAATTCATAAGAAAAAAAACTAATTGTATGTTTATCCAATATTTTAATCTGCATACATCTGCCAGTTCGAAGTCAACTATAGTTCCATTCTTTTTCAAACAGTGCCACTGGAATAATATTTTTGAACGAGACAAATTGATTCCTTGCGGCGAATCAATTTACAGTTTTGTAATTGCACGCTGTGCGCAGCTACGTAAACGCCAGCGTCTTAGACACTGTAAGAATGACACAATAGATTAGTTTCTTGAGATAGGCTATTAAAGTATTCGAAAATAGAAAGACTTTTAATTCGTTTACACCCTGATCGAATTGCAAAACAGATTCTTGGGAAAATGGAAAGACGCAATTACGCAAAATCAAGTAATCAGATTCACACTGTAAAAAATCACTTTGAGTATTTTGACCCAAAAACATCAGTATAATATGCACATGCACCCAAAGCAAGACTCAAACTTAGTCAAGTTTTATACTCATTATTCTGCGCAAGTTTTTCAATCAAAATCTTTAAATTTGTGGTGTTGTCTGCGTTCATTTTCCCGACTATACAGCTTACTGCTCTTTCAGCGAGTTTTTTCTAATTTTTCGAACTTTGCCCTAATCCAATTTTAGCATGCTATAAGCACGTACGCCGAGGTATCTGCACGTTGATCAAATCACAAATGTCCTGAATTTTACTTCACACATGAATAATGACTTGAGAAAAAATGAAGTTACAGTTAAATTAAATATCATGAAATAAAAAGGCTAAACATTGTGTTACTCAATAATGAATAAGATACACAAGATTTTAATTGAAGTCAGCGCACTGCATGTGACGTAAATTCTGGACATTTGCATATAAAAAAAAATTGAACGAAAACAAATTACAAATTAAAATCATTTCAAAAGTTCTGCGACAAAAAGAATAGAGGTTAGATACACCTAAAAAATTTGAATAAAGATGAGACAATAATGATGGGTTAGTTCATCAAGTATTGGTAAATTTAAAGATAGCTGCGGTCGATTGAGGGTGATACACCTACCAGAAAAATACAAGCTGAACTTCACTTCGACGTTTCGAGCAAAGGCCCTTCGATCTTCGTCGGGAAGTTAGCTATGACTGTCTTGTTATCGTAGCTACCGGTTACACTCTGACAGAGATCGTTAACTTAAATATGGCAACAACCAGTGGCGCTGCCAGCTCGGTAATTGGGGGGGGGGGGAATATTCATATCTTCGTGTTCTGCATTATTAACTTCTTTTGAAATCGATTGTTTTTATGGTCTGTGAACACAAGTATATGAATATTCGCCCCCCCCCCCCAATTATCGAGCTGGCGGCGCCACTAGCAACAACTTGTATTTTAAAATAAAGTTTCGTCGTTGAAAGATTTTACAAAACTGGACGTTTTCATAAATTGCTTTGCCGAATATTTCCCAGATAGGCGACCTCCATTTGGACCCATAGTCCTGCGAGGTAGGGGACAGGAGGACAGCTGCCCCCCCCCCAAAAAAAACCAAACAAACAAACAACACTTCAGAAAGCATGGAAATTCGGGCAAATGCTAGAAAAAATCAAGAAAATTTGAGCAAATTCATCGGAAAATACTGTGCGCGGTTAAGTTCAGGTTAATTCATTAGTCCTCCATAAAAACTCAGGCAACCTTTCAACTGCCCCTATCCCCGGAAAGCATGAGCCCCGTACGCTTATGTTTGGAGTATAAATGCTGGAAATCTTCGAAAATTTGAGGAACATTTTAATGCACAGCGCTGGAACAGTGTAATTTCGGACAGGCAATTTTTAAAAGCACATATAGTCAC